GATTCATTTATGTAACAATCTCTGCATGACAAAACTAGAAACGGTGAACACATTACTGGTTGCCAGGGGTCTGGGGAGGAGTTCCTATGTGGAGAGGGGCAACTGTTCCGTATCACAATTAAGATGAAGGTTACAGAAATCTATACAGGGGATCAAACTGCGCGGGTACACTGACACACAATCACACACACACAAACTGGTGAAAACTGAACAAGGTCTGTAATCAACAGAAGCATACTGATGTCAATTTCCTGGTTTCGAAATTGGACTACATTAGACGTCACCATTAGGGGAAGACGGATATACTTATTTTCACAACTTCCTTGAATCTATATTGCGAAATAAAAAGCAAAAACAACAGGTAAACTCCACCCCTTTATCAAGCATACATAAAGCCAGATTTCTCTCCATTCAGATGATTCTCCACCCTTTATGAGGCCTTTACCTTGACTTGGACCTTACCAGTGACCGCTCCCTGACACCACCTCACTCCAATAGGGCCCATTCCTTCCAGGTGACGCTGCCGGCGATTTACCTTCCTCTAGCTCCACCCTGTCAGGTGGCTCCGCCTCCCCGTGCTTCCGGTTCCTAGTCAGCCCCGCCCCTTGGCGCCTCTGCCTTCCAGGGAGACACGCCATCGTTCCCCAGCCCCTCCCCCTTCCAGATGGCCCCGCCTCCTAGGTGCTTCAGCTTTCACAGCTAGCCCCGCCCACAAACAGTCTTTCCAAGGCCCCGCCCCTCGGCTCCCTTTGGCCCCTCCCCCTTCCAGGTGGCCTCGTCCTTGAAGGCTTCTTCTCAGAGGCCCTGTCCAACTGTCTCTGTCTCTCGTCTACCCTCTCCCTCTGGGGGACGCCGCTCTGCACCCTCCGGCGGTCCGCCGCCCGCGCTTTTCCCTCTCCACCGCGCTCTTGGCCGTCTCAGTGTCCTCACGCCCATTCTTCTGCGGACACCCCGACATGCCGAAGCATGGGCCCAAGCATTCGGCGCGCCCGCCGCCCTCTGTCCCCCATCTGCTCGCAAGGGGCCCCACTTGCCTCGCGCTGGTCCCACGCGCCGCTCCCCGGACAACACACTGAGATCCGCCGGGTGCGCCTCTGCAGCGTCAACCAAATTCGCGCCACCGCATTCGCGCGCAGACGTCGGGAGGGCGGGGGCGGGGCAGAGCCGAGGGGCGGAACCTGGGCACCGCCCGCGCCGCCGCGGTAGCCTGGGAGTCGTAGTCTCCCGAATGGGAGGAGAGCGGGAAAAGGGGTGAAGTGAGGCGAGCCCTCCCGCAGAGCACACTGGGAAAATGTCCCGAGCTTTCCCTCGCCCTGGATGAGCGGGTGTGGCTAAGGATCCGAGGAGTGACTGGCGGGGAAAAAAAAAGGTGGAAGCACCAGCGCGAGGCACGGCGGGAAGAGAGGCGGGAGGCCGCGCAGGGCATCCCGGGAGCAAGGGCCGGGCCAGGCCTGGGCGCGGAGCATTGTGGGAGGTGGACGCCGCTCCGGGGCGGGTAGGTGAGTGGGGAGGGGCGGGAAGGGTGCACATCTTGGGGAGGGGAGAGGCACAGCTAGGTGGGCGGCGGGGCTGGAAGGGGCCGCAGCGGGCGGGACGGAGAGTAGGAGCGGCGGGAGCGGGCTGGATGGGGCTGCTCGAGGGGAGACGCGCAGCTGGACGTGGGGGGAGCATCTGGGGTGAAGGAGCCCATCCGAGGACGAGGGGCCTTGTCTAGAACGAAGATGCATATTGCGGGGGATGGTGGGTGTAGCTGGGAGGAGGGGCCCACAGCTGGACTGGGGACCGCAGCTGCGGAGGAGGGGACCACAGGTGAATATTGGTGACACTTCCGAGGAGAACTAGCCACAAGTGGGGCACACACCTGTAGGCGACGCATCGATCACTGCATGTGGCCAGCACATCTGGAGATGGGAGCCCCTAAGGGAAGCCCTAGCCACAGCTGCTGTGGCGAGCCACAGGGTCATATCCGGGGGAGGGGCAACAGCTGCACACCAGAGACACATCTGGGGAGTGCGGAGCCACAGGTGCATGAAGCATGGGACTAGGTCCCGGGTCCGTGGCCTGGATGTGGGAGCACATCTGGAGATGGAGTGTCTTTGGAGGGATCACAGCCAACTGTTGACTCATGGAAGGGGGAGTTCCGGAAGAATATGAGCACTAGAGGTTGCCCTTGGGCGAGAGACCTGGCTGGAGGGGGAGGAGGTTTTAGCTGGAGTTTGAGAACACATTTGTGGGGGGGGCTGCCTACATCTGAGCTTAAGGGTCATATTTTGGGAGAAGGGATTCCAACCGTACCTAAGGGTCACATCTGTGGAGGAGGAGACGAAGGGGAATTAGAAATCAAGATGACAGGCTCCAAGTGAACCAGGGATAAGGTGGTGGGAGGAGGCCAAAGAAAGGTTGGAGGTTTATATTTATATATTTGAAGAGAAAAATGGGCATGTCTGACCCCTGCACTACCCACCTTGATAGAGGCGCCAGCACCCACGAGGCAGTCCGAGGATGGAATAGATGAGACACCCCGGGTGGGGATGGGTCTGATAGCCTCCTGTTCTCCCCTCCTCCACGCAGGCCCCCAGGATGGAGCGGCCGGAGCCCCCACCCGGGACGGTGGCGGCGGGGCAGGAGGAGCAGGAGCTGCGGGAGCGGGCTTTCTTCTCGTGGGCGGAGTTCAGCCGCTTCTTCGATGCGTGGTGCCAGCAGCGGCTGGCGCTCTTCTTCGTCAAGAGCTCCATGCACCTGGCGCGCTGCCGCTGGGCCAGCGCGCCCCCGCTCTACACGCTCATCGACGTGCTCAAGTACAGCTACGTGCGGCTCGTGTGCAAGGACGTGCGTGCGCCCAACCGGCCCGCTGTGGGGTGCGTGAACCTGAGCCACCATCCTGCTGGGGCGGGGGTGGGGGCACAGGAGGAGGACGGGGGCCAGTGGGAGATGGGCAGAGAACACCCAGAGATGCAAAGGGAGAGAAGTGGACTGAGACAGCCAGATGCACCTTGCAAAGAGGCGGGAGGCAAGGAGGGACGCGTACTGAGAGAGAGTAAAGGCACTCACTGACCAAGAAATGGTGTAGGCCCCGACTCACAGACTTTTTTTTTTTTTTGAGAGGGAGTCTTAACTCTGTCGCCCAGGCTGGAGTACAATGGTGGCATCTGGGCTCATTGCAACTCCCCCTCCCAGGTTCAAGGGATTCTCCTGCCTCAGCCTCCCAAGTAGCTAGGACTACAGGCACCCGCCATCATGCCCAGCTAATTTTTGTATTTTTGTAGAGACAGGGTTTCACCATGTTGGCCAGGCTGGTCTCGAACTCTTGACCTCAGGTGATTCCCCCCCCCCACCTCGCCTCCCAAAGTGCTGGAATTACAGGCATGAGCCACTGCGGCCAGCCAAATTGACCCCAATTTTATTTTATTTTATTTGAGACAGATAAAATAAACTCTCCACAGCTGCTCAAAGCAGAGTCTCTCCAGTGTCACAGCCCAGGTCAGCCCGTGAGCCTCAATCTGTTTTCCATGCTGGAGTGCAGGGGTGCGATCTCGGCTCACTGCAACCTCTGCCTCCTGGGCTGAAGCAATTCTCCTGCCTCAGCCTCCCAAGTAGCTGGGATTACAGGCGCGCACCACCACGCCTGGTTAATTTTTGTATTTTTAGTAGAGACGGGGTTTCACCATGTTGCCAGGCTGGTCTTGAACTCCTGACCTCATGATCCATCTGCCTTGGCCTCCCAAAGTGCTGGGATTACAGGCGTGAGCCACCTCATGGCACCCGGCCTGACTCCCAATTTTAAACAGGGATTATTCCCCACACAACGTTAGGTTTCTGGCTTCCATTAGAACACCAGAAGAGGTGAGCCCATGTTTCCATTGGCAGACAGGCACCCCTCTTGGATAGGGCTTTGCTGCCCAGGTTTGCCCCAGACCCTGCCACTCTCTGCTGCCTCATGCCTGCTGCTGTCATTTCCTTGTTTTGCCTGCCTGGCCTCAGCAGGTGTGTGAGTTTGAGACTCTGGGTTGGGGAGCTGTAGACAAGTGCAGAGCACTTAAGAACACAGGCTCTGCCTTCAGGCTGCCTGAGACAGGCTCCACCGCTTCCTGGATGGGTGTCTTTGGGCAATGGACTTCACATCGCCAAGCCTCAGTTTTCTCATCTCTGAAATGGGGTTATCATGATACCCGCTTCACGGGGCCATTGCGAGGATGCCGGTGAGATCATGCAGGAGAAAGACACTTACCCCTGGTGCCTGGAACATGGGGTGGCTGGTTAAGTGAGAGCTGGTACAGGATTCAAGAGCATGGACTCTGGGTCATTGCACTGTGGATGCTGCTGAGTGAGTGACCCCACCCTTCTGTGGCCTCAGTTTCCTCCTGTGGACAATGGGGGACATAATAGTATCTATCTCATAGGTAAATAATTCAGAAAGGCATCCAGCACAGAGTAAGCGTGCTCTAACAGCTCCTTTCCCCGTAGGTATTTAAACATGTATTGTGAGATGACTGTTCTTGCAACTTTTCTTCTCACGGCTTGTTCTAGAAACAGAGACTCAGAGATCTGAAAGCAGAACAGCATCAAACACACACATCACCCACAAACCTAGAACGTTAGAGCGCGCAGGAAGCTCAGACCTCACCAGAAACCTATGAACAGAACCCAATTCAATGTGGCACATACTTAAGCATACTTGAGCATCTGCTATGTGCATGCGCTTCACTAGACATTCGGAAGCCAAAGCTGATCTCAGCCCTTGAACAGCTCAGAACTTAATGGGGGAGACAAATCCAAAAAAAAAAAAAAAAATAGGCAGATAGGTGACCCATAGTCGGAGTGAGATTGACGGGGAGATGAGAGGAGGATGCAAAGGGCGTGGTCAGTTCCACTTGAGAGTGTGCTGGGTGGTTCTGGAAGGCTTCCTGGAAGAGGTAAGCAGAACCCTGAAGAATTCTGTTGCTATGTTTGTGTATGTATAGTATTTGACCTAACACACGCACACACACACACACACAAGGTACTAGGTACCTTGTACAGGTACCATCCCAAGTGTTCTACAAATATCAGAGACAGCCAAGGAGCAGGAGAGACAGGGCTGTGGAGGGGCAAGGACAGTGCCCTGGGTCCACCCCTGGGACTGGGTAGATGATGAGATGGTCTCTGGATGGGGAGTGGGGGAGCCGGTGGTTGATGAGCCGGTTGAGGAATGCTGTCTTGGACCCATCATATCTGGATCCCCCACTCTCCCCAGCTGCTGAAAGCAGGGCCTCTCCAGTGTCACAGCCCAGGGACAGCCCAGGAGCCCAGGTCAGGCTGGAGAAATTAGTGTGTAAGGAAAGGCAGGAAATGAGGCTGGAGTGGTGTCCCGCCCGGACCTGGCAGGGCTGCGTCCAGGGGCTGGGGATTTATGTGAAGGGTGGTGGGGCCCTAGAAGGCTGTGAATAGGGTGAGTTCTGGGTGGAGGACGATCCCTGTGGGGCTGTGTGGGAAACGATCTGGGGAGAGAGAGAAGGGATGCTAAGGAGGAAGCTGGGGCTTAGGGCGCAGGGGACACAGACGCAAGCTTTCTTCCTGGCCACTCCTTCCCCCTTTCCAGAGGTTGCACAGTGACACTCTCCAAGCCAGCGCTCCTGCAGCCTCAGCCCTCCCGCCCCAGTTCCTCCCCCGTCCTCTCTCTCAGCACTCCCCCCCCTCCCAGAACAGAGCTGCACAGCCTTTCTCAATACACACCAGCCTCTGAGGACACAAAGAGCTTGAAAACCTGAAAGATCAAGAATAAATGGGTAGCCGGGCGCGGTGGTCACACCTGTAATCCCAGCACTTTGGGAGGCTGAGGTGGTTGGATCACTTGAGGTCAGGAGTTTGAGACCAGCCTGTCCAACTTTGTGAAACCCCATCTGTACTAAAAATACAAAAATTAGCCAGGCTTGTGGCAGGCACCTGTAATCCCAGCTACTCAGGAGGCTGAGACAGGAGAATCACTTGAACCCAGGAGGCAGAGGTTGCAGTGAGCTGAGATTGTGCCACTGCACTCCAGCCTGGGCAACAGAGCGAGACTCTATCTCAAAAAAAAAAAAAGAATAAATGGGTAAGTGGAAGGCAAAACAAAGCAAAGCAATAGGTCCTTGAAAAAAAGTTTTGAAAATTGGCCGAGCACGGTGGCTCACACCTGTAATCCCAGCACTTTGGGAGGCCGAGGCAGGCGGATCACAAGGTCAGAAGTTTGAGACCAGCCTGGCCAACATGGTGAAACCCCGTCCCTACTAAAAATACAAAAATGAGCCAGGTGTGGTGGCGTGCACCTGTGATCCCAGCTACTCGGGAGGCTGAGGCAGAATCGCTTGAATCCAGGAGGCGGAGGTTGCAGTTGCACTCCAGCCTGGAGCAAGACCCCATCTCAAAAAAAAAAAAAAAGGAAAAAAAAGAAAATAGCAGCTACTATTTCTGCATGGTTTACTATGCACTAGCCCCTTTTCTAACTACTTCACACAATTTAATCCTCTTATTTAGCCCTCTTGACAAGGCTGAGAGACTAGTGTTACTATTAGCCCCACTTTCCAGGTAAGAAAACTGAGGCACAGAATGCTTAACAAGTGTTCCCAGGATAACATAGCCGCTAAGCGGGCAAACCAGGATCTGGACCCTCATTCTCGTTCCTAAGCCCATGCCTTTAATTACTACCCTCCTGCCTTTCTTTCTCTCTCTCTCTTTCTCTCTCCTCCCCTCATCTTTATTTCAGTCGTTCAATCCTCCGTGTGAGGGTGGAATGTGTTATAGGTACCCTAAGGATGTGTTGGTTTTGGGCACCAGCCTATCCATCCCTTCATCCAAGAGGTTTTTGGGTGCTCCTGCAATGTGCAAGATGTTTGTTTTAGATGCTCAGCTGTCTGTCGGGAATGTACATTACAGATGGAAATAAATACAGATCCCTACATGTGATGGACCCTGCCCTAATCTGGATATGGTCAGGGAAGACTTCCTGGAGGAGGTGATGCTGGCTGCGAGGCCTGAAGGATGAGTAGGAGATGACTAGGTGAAAAAGGAGAGGAATGTTTTATGAAAAGAGGAAAGAACTTACAATAAGTTGTGGAAATGGAAAAAAAGTGGATGGGTAGGACTTGGTGCGGGATGGTTTAGATGGAATGAAGACCATCTCCGAAAGCGGGTGTGCCAGGGGTTGTAGATTACATCATGGGATTCAGTCATTGAGTCATCACATATTTACTGAACCACCTCCAGAGGCCAAGCTTTACCTGTATTAACTCCTTCATGCACTCTTTCATAACAATTCTATGAGGAAGCTATGATAAGTGGGGTCTCCCTTTTAACCTATGAGGAGACTGAGGCACAGAGACTTGAATTTACTTGCCCGAGGTCACACAGCTGGCATTCTCTTAAGGCCCTCCACGCCTCTATGCCTGAAAATTAAATTCTTAGTTTAAAAAAAAAGGAGAGTAGAAAGGAAGAAAAGGGCAGCGGAGCGCCGTGACCACGGTGGCGGTCCTTTCTCCCACAGGCCCCCCCAGCCCGGCTGCCCCGCCTTCATCATCGTCAAGCTGAGCCCGCTGCGGGACCGCCTCGTGGTGACGGAGTGCCAGCTGACCCACTCACACCCGGCTTGCCCGCTGGAGTTTGCCTACTACTTCCGCCCGGGCCACCTGCTGGCCAACGCCTGCCTGCCGGTGCGCACCACCAACAAGATCTCCAAGCAGTTCGTGGCCCCAGCCGACGTGCGCCGCCTGCTCTCCTACTGCAAAGGCCGCGACCACGGGGTCCTGGACGCCCTGCACGTGCTTGAGGGCCTCTTCCGCACCGACCCCGAGGCCAAGGTGGGGTCTCGGGAGAGGCAGGATGGGGGGCGGGGGAGAGCCACGCTGAAGACTCGTGGTTCATTCATTCCTTCATCCGCCCTCCCATCCCTTCATTCCTTTATTCCATTCATCTGTTCATTCATTCAATGAGTAATTACCGAGGCACTGGGGATGCAGCAGCAAACCAGACACACGTGGTCTCTGTCAGCAGGGCTCTCACCTTCTAGTGTAGCTATCCAATAGAGCTTTCTTCCATGAAGGAAACGTTCTGTGTTTCTGCACTGCTCAGGATGGTAGCTCCCAGCCCCACGTGGCTATTGAGCCCTTGAAATGTGGCTCCTACACTGAGGAACTGAATTTAGTTTAATTAATTGAAATTTAAATAGTTACGGCTCTAAGCTACCTTGCAGAGGTAACTGCTAGAACCACCTTGCAGTTCTAGCAGGAGAAGCCAACAACCGCCAAACACATGCAAATGTGATCTAATATCACTAGGGACCGAGAGCTAGCAGGGAGAGGGGCCGCAGGGATGCCAAGTGCTATGTTTTCTCTTTTTTTTTTTTTCGAGTCCTCAGTGTCACCCAGCCTGAGTGCAGTGGTGCAGTCATGGCTCACTGCACCCTCAACGTCCCAGGTGCAATCAGTCCTCTCACCTCATTCTCCCAAGTAGCTGGGACAACAGGCGTGCACCATCACACCCAGTTTTTTAGTTTTTGCAGAGATGTTGGGGGGGGTCTCCCTGTGTTGCCCAGGCTAGTCTTGAACTCCTGGACTCAAGCAGTCCTCCTGCTTCGGCCTCCCAAAGTGCTGGGGTTACAGGCATGAGCTACCACGCCTGGCCTATTTATATTTTTATTTAAAAATTGAACTACACAAATAGAAAATGCACAAATAATAAGTATTTAGTTTGATGAATGTTCACAAGGGGAGAACACACCTGAACCCACCACCCAGATGGAGAATTGGAAGAGAAAGCGCCATGTCCTGTAATATGACGGAGCGATGAGTATTATAAAGGAGAGGCTGGGCACAGTGGCTCACTTTGGGAGGCAGAGGTGGCGGGATCATGAAGTCAGGAGATCGAGACCATCCTGGCCAACATGGTGAAACTCTGTCTCTATTAAAATACCAAAAAAAAAAAAAAAATGTTGGGCATGGTGGCACACCCCTGTAGTCCCAGCTATTCAGGAGGCTGAGGCAGGAGAATCACTTGAACCTGGGAAGTGGAGGTTGCAGTGAGCTGAGATCACGCCACTGTACTCCAGCCTGGCAACAGAGTAAGACTCCGTCTCAACAACAACAAAAAAAGAAGAAACCCTGATTCACGCCACCAGCCCAAGCCCAGTCCTCTGTCCCGACGTAATGTCAATAATAATTTTAGCTAATGTTTATCAAGCACTTACTATATGCCAGGCACTACCCTAAGTGCTTTCCGTACTATAACTCATTTCAGTCTCACCAGAGCCCTGTGAGGAAACAGACCACCATTCTTATCACCATGTTACAGACAAGAAAACCGAAGCAAAGAGATGTCAAGTAACTGGCTCAAAGTCATACAGCTATTTAGTGACAGAGCTGGGCTTCGGACCCATACAGCCTGGATCTAGACCCATGGTCTTCACCGTGGGGACACACACACATGCATTTCCTCCTCTGCTGGTCCTTGCTGACCTACTCTCTCTCACCCACTGCCCACCATTACGTAAAATAAGCCTCAGCTGCTCATCCCTGGAATCGCCCTCTGTAGGACTGCTCCTATGCAAAGCAGCTCATTCATAAATTAGAGCCTGCCCTGGAAAGGGATTGACTTTTCATTTTGAAGACTGTCTTGGAATCTAGGCTCAACCAAGGTTGGCTCCTGGGTCTGTGTTTTGGCCTGCCTTAATACCACTAAATGAAGGGAAGAAGGCCGGGCGCAGCGGCTCACGCCTGGAATCCCAGCACTTTGGGAGGCCGAGGCGGGTGGATCACGAGGTCAGGAGTTTGAGACCCCAGCCTGGCCAATATGGTAAACCCCTTCTCTACTAAAAATACAAAAATTAGCCAGGTGTGGTGGTGTGCGCCTGTAGTCCCAGCTACTCGAGAGGCTGAGGCCGAAAAACCACTTGAACCCAGGAGGCAGAGGTTGTAGTGAGCCGAGATCGCACCACTGCACTGCAGCCTAGGTGACAGAGCAAGACTCTGTCTCAAAAAAAAAAAAAAGAGGAAGAAGTTCTAGGAGAGAAGACAGAGAGTGAAGCAATATTTAAATATTTACTTTTTGAATATGTCATGTATTCACCTGGTTCTAAAAAGGGTATGTGGTGAAAAGTCTTGTCACCTCCTGTCCCCCAGGCCCCCTCTGTCCTGCCCCCAGAGTTATCAGTGGCTTATAAATCATATCTGGCTTTCTATCCTATGGACCAGCACTGCCCGGTGGAACTTTCTACAATGATAGAAATGGTCCTTATTCAGGCTGGGCATGGTGACTTGCGCCTGTAATCCCAGCACTTTGGGACTCTGAGGCAGGTGGATCACCTGGTGTCAGGAGTTCAAGACCAGCTTGGCCAATATGGAGAAACCTGGTCTCTACTAAAACTTCAAAATTAGCCAGGCATGGTGGTGGGTGCCTTTAATTTCAGCTACTTGGGAGGCTGCGGCACAAGAATCACTTGAACCCGGCAGGTGGAGGTTGCAGTGAGCTGAGATTACGCCACTGCACTCTGGCCTAGGTAACAGAGTGAGACTCTTGTCTCAAAAAACAAAACAAAACAAAAAGCAAGAAAGAAAGTGGTTCTTACCTGTAGTCCAGGACAGAGGCCACTGGTCACGCATGGCTATGGAATACTTAATGAGGCCTGTGTGACTGAGGAATGAAATTTTCATGTGATTTATTGAAATGTAAACAACCTAATGTGGCTGGTGGCTTCTGGATGGGACAGCACCGCTCTGCACATATACAGGCCAATTTGCATGTCTGTATTTTTAACTTTATTTCTTCTTTCTGTCTTCCCCATCCCCCACCCCCAACAAGGCAGCCTGTTGTACACACTGTTTTGTTTTGTTTGTTTTGAGACAGGGTTTCACTCCTGTCACCCAGGCTGGAGTGCAGTGGTACGCTGCCGGCTCCCTACAACCTCCACCTCCTGGGCTCAAGTGATTCTCCTGCCTCAGCCTCCTGAGTAATCGGGATTACAGGCGTGCACCACCACACCTGGCTAATTTTTGTATTTTTAGTAGAGACGAGGTTTTGGATCACAATCAAGTGATCCACTCACTTTGGCCTCCCGAAGTGCTGGGATTACAGGTGTGAGCCACTGCACCCAGCTTGTACACACTGTTTTGCATCTTGCTTTATATGTCAGAGAGTGCCAGATGTCAGCGTCTTTCATTCGTCCTCTGGGACTGGTCAAATCCCCCTGAGAAAAATCCTCCAACCTCCTGGCTGGGGGTGAAGGGCAGGCTGCCAGCTGTGGGAGCCACACCAGGGCAGAGGCAGGGAGCTGGCAGGCATTCAGACAGCAAGTTGCATTCAGTCCCGGGAGAGGGGAAACAGGATTTGGAGGTCTAGCTGCTGCTGAAACAGCCCTCAGTTAATCTTTAGTTTCCCTTGCACAAAACTGGCCTGGTGTTGCCAGCTCCTTTGGAGAACTTTGCTACTGGTTCTCAGCATCCCCCAATTGCTGGCTGAGGATTCATGGGTTTTGGGGGGGTGGGGTGGGGTGGAATAAGCATGTCTGGCTGCTTTCCAGTTTCCAAAGTTCTGTCCCTGTCATATTGCCTCTGTCTTTATTTATTTATTTTTTTAAAAAAGCCATTTAAAAAATAGACGTACTTGAGGTTCAAGAAAGAAACTAGAGAGGTATTCAATCCATCACTTTTACACAGAAGCTTCACTTTTTTTACTTATAAAATCTACAGAAAGAGTTCGATATTATTAATGTATTAATAATATAATAGTAATATAATGTAATAGATATGCAATATTAATATAATATGTAATTCATATTATAATATGTAATATTAATAATACAATAGGTGTAATGGCTCACATCTGTAATTCCAACACTTTGGGAGGCCAAAACGAGAGGATCACTTGAGCCCAAGAGTTCAAGACCAGCCAGGCCAACATAACAAGCCCCTGTCTCTACAAAAAATTTAAAAAGTCAGGCATAGTGGCATGCATCTGGAGTCCCAGCTACTCGGGAGGCTGAGGCATGAGGGTTGCCTGAGCCCAGGAGGCTGGGGCTGCAGTATGCTATGATCACACCACTGCACTCCAGCCTTGACAACCGGCTGAGACCCTTTCTCAAAATAAATAAATAAATGAAGAGCTTTAAATTTTCATCCCAGGGCTGGGCGCGGTGGCTCACACCTGTTATCGTAGCACTTTGGGAGGCTGAGGCAGGCGGATCACCTAAGGCGGGGAGTTCAAGTGCAGCCCAACCAACATGGAGAAACCCTGTCTCTACTAAAAATACAAAATTAGCCCGGCATGGTGGCACATACCTGTTATTCCAGCTACTCTGGAGGCTGAGGCAGGAGAATCACTTGAACCCAGGAGGCGGAAGTTGTGGTGAGCCGAGATCATGCCATTGCACTCCAGCCTGGGCAACAAGAGCAAAACTCCATATCAAAAAAAAAAAAAAAAAAAAAAAAAAAAAAAAAGTTTCATCCCAAGCCTAGTCAAGTAACAATCAAATGGTCTCTGCACTTCCCAGCAGTCTTCCAAAGGAAGGATTATTTTGTGTAAAGTGCCTGACACTTCCTGAGTTGGGGTTGCTCTCTGGATCTTTGGAGAGGGTCAGACAAAAAAGATGTGCCCAATATGGACAAGATTGGACAAGATTGTTGACACCTTTTTTTTCTTTTTAGACGGAGACTTGCTCTGTCACCAGGCTGGAGTGCAGTGGTGCGATCTTAGCTCACTGTAATCTCTGCCTCCCAAGTTCAAGCGATTTCCCTGCCTCAGCCTCCCGAGTAGCTGGGACTACAGGCGTGTGCCACCAGGCCCGGCTAATTTTTGTTTCGTTTTGTTTTGTTTTGAGACAGAGTTTTGCTCTGTCACCCAGGCTGGAGTGCAGTGGCACGATCTTGGCTCACTGAAACCTAATTTTTGTATTTTTAATAAAGACGGAGGTTTCCCCATATTGGCCAGGCTGGTCTCGAACTCCTGACCTCAAGTGATCCGCCCGCCTCGGTCTCCCAAAATGCTGGGGTTACAGGCGTGAGCCACCGCGAGAGTCTGTTTTTTACCATTTCCCTGCACTGCCCCCTGCCGCTCACAAGAATAAATGCATATGCAGGCAAGAATGAATGAGTTCCCATTTCCGTAGAAGAGGAAACCGAGGTCGAGGAGCTGGGCGGCGGGACCCCAGCATCCTCTGACCTCTTTCCTTACCTCCCCGGCCCCGCCCGCAGGTGAAGCTGGTGTTCGTGGAGGACCAGGCGGTGGTGGAGACGGTGTTCTTCCTGACGTCGCGCACCAGGGCCCTGCTGCGGCGCTTCCCGCGCATGCTGCTGGTGGACCGGCTGCCGGGGCTGCAGGGCGCGCTGGATCTGCTGGCCGTGCTGTGCGTGGACGGCGCGGGCCGTGCGCGCCAGGCTGCCTGTTGCGTGGCGCGCCCGGGCACGCCGAGCCTGCTGCGTTTCGCGCTGGCGTCGCTGCTGCAGAGTGCGCCAGACGTCAAAGGCCGCGTGCGCTGCCTCACCGCCGGGCCGGAGGTGGCGGCACAGCTGCCCGCGGTGCGTCAGCTGCTGCCCTGCGCGCGTGTGCAGATCTGCCGCGCGCAGGGCCTGGAGACGCTCTTCAGCAAGGCGCAGGAGCTGGGCGGCGCTGGCCGCGAGGACCCGGGCCTGTGGTCGCGCCTGTGCCGCCTGGCTGGCGCGTCGTCGCCCGCCGCCTACGACGAGGCGCTGGCCGAGCTGCACGCCCATGGCCCGGCCGCCTTCGTCGACTACTTCGAGCGCAACTGGGAGCCCCGCGGCTTGACCCTCTCCATATGCCTCACATGTCCAGCTCACAAGTGTCAATTCAAGTTTAGCCTAAAGCTGCCTCCTTACGTATTTTAAGTTCGGCCTGAAGGGTTTTCTGTACATTGTGAACTGTAACAAGTGAGGTATAAACCAAAGGTGAGCCTACACTTGTGCCAATCGCTGAGTTTTCGGCAATCACATGTAGCCAACTGGTCTAATTGTGTTCAAATAAGGCAAACACTGAACTGTAATCAATCCAGCTGTTTTCTGTACCTCACTTCCGTTTTCTGTATGCCACCTGCCTTTTTCTGTCCACAAATCGTCCACCATATGGCTGTGCTGGAGTTTCAGCCTACTCTGGCTCAAGGCTGCCTGATTCGTGAATCTTTCATGGCTCAATTAAACTCTGTTTATTTATTTTGAGATGGAGTCTCGCTCTGTTGCCTGGGCTGCCGTGCAGTGGCATGATCTCGGCTCACCACAACCACCTCCACCGCCTGTGTTCAAGCATTCTCATGCCCCAGCCTTCCCAGTAGCTGGGATTACAGGCACCCGCCACCACACCGGCTAATTTTTTGTATTTTAGTAGAGACGGGGTTTCATCATGTGGGCCAGGCTGTTCTTGAACTCCTGACTTGAAGCCATCTGCCCTCCTCAGCTTCCAAAAGTACTGGGATTACAGGCGTGAGCCACCGTGCCCGGCAATTCAACTTCTTTAAATTTAATTCATCTGAAGTTTTTCTTTTATCACAAGTCACATCAATCCCTCAGGCCCCTGCTCAAATGCCACCTCCCCCTGAAAGCCATCCTTAACTTGTGTCTCTAAAGAGCCACACCAGCCCCTTTCTTTGCTTTATCCTTCACAGCCCTTACCACTACTTGAAATTATGCCACACAGCTATTTACCACCTTGGCCTTGTGGTTAAACTTATCAAGTATGAAGCCAGACTGCTTGGGTTCAAATCCCAGCTCCACTACTTCCTTGCCATGTGACCATCATGTTCAGCCTACGTTACAGTTTAGGGGTCATAATAGTACTTGTCTCATAAGGCTTTGTGAGGATAAATGAATCAGTGTGTGCACCAATGTCCTAATGCTGCCTGAATTTCCGTTTTCCCCAAAGCAACCCAGTTACTTATTAACATACTGTTTTTTCCAGTAACCTGTGTTCACCGTTGTTATGTCAATCTCCTCCCGCCAAAATGTAAGCTCTATTTTGTTTTCCTTTGCATCCCCAGTGACTAGAACAATGCCTGTTGCAAAGTAAGCTTTGAGTTCAAAAAAAAAAAAAAAAAAGAAGGAAAAAAGAAAAAAGGGGGGGGGCTGCCAGGGATGGCTGGCGCTTCATGATGCTTCACTGTTGCTCTGGTGACGATCCAGTCTGCAGGAAGATCCCAGCTTCCATAACCTTGTCCCTACCTGCAACCAGCTCACCCATTGGCCACCTGTATCTGCCGCCGTAGCAGCCAGAAAACTGCAACTCCCAGCAGGCTGAGCGCCACCAGCACTTTCACGCCTAGTCCCTTTGCTAAGAGCGAGCGCCTGCGCAGTAGAATCCACGGGCCCAGAGCTCCATCTGAGCATGTGCAGGGGGCGGGGTGTTTCCTTCGCCGGCTGGCGGGAGAGGAGTGGGCAGGACCCGGTTCCAAGCTGAGCTCGGCTCTCCTTGTCCAGAGGGTCTGGGCACCGGGGCTGCCAACTCGGGGTGTGGAGTGGGGGCGGGAAACCTGCTTCGGTCGCCATGGTTACGAGCCGCTCAGCGCGCTGAGGAAGACTCAAAGGTTAGCGTTGCCACAGTAACCCTGGATTGGAGAGGGGACGGGGATCAGAGACCTCGCGGGAGAAATTAGACTTAACAGCCTGGGAACTGGTGGGACGGAGAGCGTGCCGAAGGAATCAGTTTGCAGTAAGGGGAGTTAGGGTGATATGAGGAGAATTGGGATGCTTTGAATGAGAGGGAATGTTTTGATGAATTCCTATGTAATAAAGAGATTTGTGGGAGATCATTGAATCGATGTTGCTAGGTACTTGGGATGCTCAAGGGAAATGCAGTAGGAAAATTGGGGTGTTAAGCTCATTTGCTATTCTGCAGCTATTTATAGAGCTCCTGCTGTAAGCCTGGCATGGTCAGATGTTGACAGTACTGGTGAACCGGACAGATGTGACAACAGAGGGAATTGGGGTTTCATGGAGCAGGAGAGGTAGAGGAAAAGTGGACTCTTGTCCTCTATGGGAGCGACTGGGAGGCGACTGGGAAGAACTGGCGCTATAAGGAGAAGCTGGAGATTTTATAAGGGAATTGAGGTATTATATAAGTTAATTCTGTTACTAATTATAGAAAGCCAACTCAGTAGCAGCCTCTAGGAAGCACTGCAGATTCCTTACTATGCAAAGGGATTTAGGGATAGGGTTACCAGATTTAGGGGGAAAGCAATGCTCAGTTACATTCTAATTTCAGGAAATGCATAATACTGTAGTTACTCCCTGTTTATCAGAAATTCAAATTTAGCTGGGCATTCTGTATTTTCTTTGGCAACTCTCATTATGGGTACTTTGTGAAGAGTGGCTTATTATAGGGGACACAGGTATTACAGAGTACTTGGGTTGTATGTGGAGCTAGGGATAGTCAGGAAAAGTCGGAGTGTTGAAGCCAACACTAAGAACAGCACTTACGGCTGGACACGGTGGTTCACGCCTATAATCCCAGCACTTTGGGAGGTGGAGGTGGGCGGATCACGAGGTCAGGAGATTGAGGCCATCCTGGCTAACGTGGTGAAACCCCGTCTCCACTAAATATACAAAAAAAAAAAAAAAAAAAAAAAAAAAAAAAAACATTAGCTGGGCGTGGTGGTGTGCGCTCGTAGGCACAGCTACTTGGGAGGCCAAGGCAGGAGAATACTTGAACCCGGGAGACGGAGGTTGCAGTGAGCTGAGATTGTGCCACTGCACTCCAGCCTGGGCAACAGTGTGAGACTCCATCTCAAAAACAAACAAACAAAAAACCTAAAAAACGCTGCAATCTGGGGCTCTTGATCCACTTGCTCAAGCCCGCCCCCATTCTGTGGAGCATACTTTTGCTTCAATAAATCTGTGCTTTCGTTACTCCGCTCTTTTGTTGCTTTGTGTGTGATTTTGTTCAATTCTTCGTTCAACACATCAAGAACCCTGACAACTCACAGTCAAGACCTTCCACACAGTAACATCATCACTGCAGAAAGTTGACGTGTGGGGTGACAAGTGTGGAGGCTTCCTGGTTCCCAACTGTTCAACTTCATCTCTTATCAATTGCCCTCGTACTTCTCTGCCTCACCCCCAGCCTTCTCCCTGTTCCCCAAACAAGCCAATCTTGATCCAATCTCGCCCTGACTCTTAACCTCCGTTTGGAATGTCCACCCAGCCCTTGGCATGGCAGGTCTAACCGTCACCACCCCATGTTGGGGCTCACTCGGGGTGGCTAGCGAAATATTAGGGAAAGTTATATAGTCTCAAACCTTTTGGAAGTCTGAAAGGTTTTATTGGAACAGGCTGAAGGCAGCCAGTCCATTATGTTAGGGAAAAGATAGGGACAATAAGAGGCTTCCCCAGTGAAGTCTGTTTACCCCACATCCCTTTGTCTCTAATTTGTTTGCTCATGTAAACTTTGTGCTGGATGGTCCTCTCAGGGAGCTCAAAAGAGAATTACTTGTTAATAGTGTTTACTCTGGGCCCCGGAACCTAAAGGTTTTATCATGTGTAAAACCACTCTTTTAAACATGTTAATTATCCACAAGCACGTTGACTTTTAACCTCTGTTATGAAATTGATACTGAATAAATGAGAGGATGTGGAGAGGGTCTTAGTTGATTGGCCATGGTTGCCCTTGGAAAGTGGCCGAAGACCATCCCTAGCCCACTTGAATCACTGAAATAGGTGTAAGAGTGCATTTATTCCTCCATCCTGGAGTCAGGGTCTGCAGGACAGACCTCTGCAGGTGGTGATCGAGTATCTGTTTCAGAAGACTTACCGGTATCTGTCTTAGTTTGTTTTCTTGTGCTTATAACAGAATACCTGAAATGAGGTAATGTATAAAGAAAAAGAATTTATTTCTTCCAGTTATGGAGCCTGAGATGTCCAGGGTCAGAAGCCACATGTGGCTTCATGCCAGTGGGAATTCTGCAGAGTCCCAGGGCAGCATGGGGTGTCACATGGTGTGGTGGCTGAGGGTGCTAGCTCAGGTTTTGCTCCCACTTATTATAAAGCCACCAGTCCTACTCCCATGTAACCCCTTAATTGATTAAACCATGAATGAAGATTAATCCATTCATAAGGGCTCTGTCCTCATGCTCAGTCACCTCTTAAATACTCTCACCTCTCAATACTGTTACATGGGGATTAAATTTCTCTCTTTTTTTTTTTTTTTTGAGATGGAGTCTTGCTCTGTCACCCAGGCTGGAATGCAGTGGCACAATCTCGCCTCACTGCAACTTCTGCCTCCTGGGTTCAAGCAATTCTCTGCCTCAGCCTCTCGAGTAGCTGGAATTACAGGTGTCTGCCACTGTGGGTAACCCCCCACATGGGCTCTGAGGAAGGAGAGCTATGCAAACCCCGGGCACAATTAGTGCCCAAAGAATATCTTAGTTTATAGTGTTATTACACAGCTATTTCCTTTATATAATCCTTTATATATAATCATATATTAGTTTAAAGAATTAGTGCCTGAAGTATAACTTACTGCTTACATATATCTAGCTTATATAATCATACTTAGTACTTATATCTAGCATACTTAGTTTCATATAATCTTTCTACATAATCATATAACAGATGTACTCAGAGCTGTACTGACACATTTAGTGCTGATTTATATAATCCTTCTATATAACCATATAGTAGTTTGTAGTAAGAGGAATGCCTAGAGCAGTCACAAAGCAGAAGCAGTACATGGGAAAACAGCCAGACAAGGACAAGAACCAAAGACCCAGGCAGTGAGTTAAAGGTGCGCAGAGCAGGGATCTAGAACACAGAAGAGTGTGTGGGGAGGTGGGCGAATCTAAGACAAAGTCTCCCAGAGAAAGCAATTATGCTGAAATTAAAGGACGTGGGAATATACAGGAAAAGTGGCCATGAGGGGAATCCCAAAACAAAATAAAAAACCAAAAAGTCATGATTGCCGGGTGTGGTGTGTCACGCCTATAATCCCAGCACTCCGAGGCACGTGGATCACCTGAGGTCAGGAGTTCGAGACCAGCCTGAGAGACATGGAGAAACCCCTTGTTTACTAAAAAATTAGCTGCGCACGATGGTGCACACCTGTAATCCCAGCTACTTGGCAGCCTGAGGGGAAAGAATCGCTTGAAACTGGAGGTGGAGGTTGCAGTGAGCCCAGATCACCCCAATATCACTAGAGGTTAAAGATTAAAGGACAAGTTCTGAAGTCTAAAGCAAATACTGCTGATGGGTAATATCCCTGTCCACAAATCTTCCACCACATGGCTGTGCTGGAGTTTCAGCCTACTCTGGCTCAAGGCTGCCTGATTCGTGAATCTTTCATGGCTCAATTAAACTCTGTTTGTTTATTTTGAGATGGAGTCCCACTCTGTTGCCTAGGCTGGAGTGCAGTGGCGTGGTCTCAGCTGACCACAACAACCTCCACCTCCTGTGTTCAAGCATTCTCATGTCGCAGCCTTCCCAGTAGCTGGGATTACAGGCACCCGTCACCACACCCAGCTAATTTTTTGTATTTTAGTAGAGACGGGGTTTCATCATGTTGACGTCTGAAGTTTTTCGTTTATCACAAGTCACATCAATCCCTCAGGTAATATCCCTGGATGACCTCTCCCCCAAAAAGCCATCCGGGATGATCAAAGGTTAATTTTATAGGACTACATGAGTAGTTGGTTTATAAATTATTATAAACCAACAGCTGTAAGAAATCTATAAATCTTCAAATACTTTTAAAAGAAAGAAAGCGAAAGAAAAGAAGAAAGCGAGCGAACAGAGGTAAATCCACACACCTATGGTGAAATAATTTTTGACAGGATGCCAGGATAATGCAACACTCTTCAGCAAATGGGGCTGTAACAACTGGATATCCACATGCAAAGAATGGAGTTGGACATTATGATGGTTGATATTAAGTGTCGACTTGATTGGACCAAAAGATGCAAAGTATTGTTCCTGGGTGTGTCTGTGAGGGTGTCGCCAAAGGAGATGAACATTTCAGTCAGTGGGCTGGGAGAGGCAGACCCACCCTCAGTCCAGGTGGGCACCATCTACTCAGTAACCAGCAGGGTAGGGATAAAGCACACAAAGGAAGTGCAGACTTGCCGAGTCTCCCCGCCTTCATTTTCCACTGGTGCTGGATGCCTCCAGCCCACAAATATCAGACTCCAAGTTCTGCAACTTTTGTTAAGTTCTGGACTTAACACCAAGTGATTTGCCAGGAGCTCAGGCCTTTGGCCACACACTGAAGGCTGCCTTGTTGGCTCCCCTACTTTTAAGGTTTGGGGAATTGGACTGATCCACCATTGGCTTCCTTGATCCTCAACTTGCAGACAGCCTATCATGGGACTTTTCCTTGCAATCGTGTGAGTCAATTCTCCTTAATAAACTTCCTTTTACATACCTATATTCTATTAGTTCTGTCCTTCTAGAGAACACTAAGACACTTACACACACAGTAATATGCATACAGTAACACGACAGATATAACACATACAATAATTTAAAATGGATCACATGTTCAAATCTAAGAGCTAAAACTGTACTCTCATCTAGGTAAATCTCCATGACCTTGGATTTGGCAACTGTTTGATACCATA